CAATTTTATAAGACTGAGTTTACATTAATCCTACATTTAGTCGACAATTAAAATATAAAAGGGAATACATGTTTATTTATATCACAACTTAAATCATAAGAAAATATATGTAACCAAGAGAAACTTCCGTTTTGTTGTGTTTCTGTGAAAATAATTTAGCTGTGAATGGTTTTGAACTCGTTCATACAATCCTTGAGAATATAAAAATTAAACTGAACTATTTGTGGATGTTGTACAGCTTCCTGACTCAGATTACAAAACCAAGCAGAATTTTAATGACTAATTTGGATAATTTTACAAGGATAATTTTAAAATATTAACCTCCTGAGACCCTGCATTCACATATGGGGACATTAAATTTTGGCTTTGCTGTACCTTATACTTCTCTCTGTTCAATAGTGTTTTATACGTTGTTAAGCCATGTTAATGTTGTTGTGTTATGCTGTAAAATAAGCCCATTGTCCCCATCTGAGGACTTCTGTTTTTTTTTTTTTTACAAAAGCATGTCATAACCATGTAAAAAAATACAACTTCCTGTTCAAAGAGGAAGCTTTATTTATACACAAATACACACACACAATACACATTTGTATCTTTTAATGTTAAAAGTTAAAAATGTTGTCTTTAGCACCTGGTTGTTTTCCAAATATATTAGTGTGTGTGAATGACAGGGTTTAACTTAAAACACTTTGTAGTACGTTTCTTTATGACGTTCTGTCCATTTCTTTAATTAAATGACCGGCAGTTCCACCACATTTAAAATTACGTTGACATACAATTCAGCACTCAGTGGAGAGTCTACATATTTATGTCTGTGGTTACTGCACACCGCTAGCTTAGCGCTATGTTAGTGCCAGCAGTTGTTGACCGGGGGTGGGGTGGGGGTTTAGGATTCATGAGAGGATCAGAGTGTGCTTTATTCACACAAGGAGAGCTGTTGGTCAGGCTACTTCTTGTTGTGCCATGAATTCTAAGAAAGTTACTGAATCAAGTGTCTACTTATGTAGGTAAATGTAGATGTTTAGCAACCTGTTAAAATATGCCAGAATGCAGGAAATGACATCTACTTTATTAAAAATTTTCTGGGGGAGGACCCCCAAATCCCACGACTAGTGCCCCTCCCTCATTACAATGCTTCTAACACCAATGAGTTTGATAAATTTAAAGACGTATTTCGAGAAAGCTTCTAATGCTTTTTGTCTTAACTTTTAAACCATGATTATTTTAAGTAATTTGTTTCAAGACATCAGCCAATGAATTTAAAGAAACTCTGCTACAAGCCTATACCTTTTCTTAAGATGGACGCAAATTGAAAGCTTTCTGCCTCGCAGCAACATTTACGCTTTGCAATCTACTCATTAAACAAAAATAATGTGTGACCACATGTGCTCATATTTTTATCAAAAGTCTAAATTTCATCACATATTCTGAGTATTGCATTATTCATGATAATGTAAAACTGATAGGCAGACTAAACAAGGTCATTGCACTTACTGAGGAACTTAAAAAATAAATCAAAAGACTTTGTTTCACTTCACAGAAGAAATGTGCTGAGTAAATGTCACGACACTCAGCCTTTTACATAATGCAGGTGTATCCCACCTACAGTATCAATTAACGAGAAAGCAGAAGACGAGCAAAGAAAAGGAGAAGAACAAATCAAAAGTGAGCAAATGGATTCATAAATGCATCAAGATAAACCATTAGCAAACATAAAGCATACATATGGTGCTTGATACATGCAAGACTGACAGTAGATAAAACAAAAGATGGCAACACTCACAATGTTTATTACAGAACAGCTCAGTGGTATGCTGTGTGCTTTAAAAGGTGGCTGGTGTTAATAAAAAAAGCAAAGCACTGAGACAGAAAACTGTCAGTGGTGATTTAAATTATTTCACCGAACAGTCTAATTTATGGTTATTTGGATCTTCCCTACTGATCATGAATTCTCAGGCAATTAAACGTCTTAAAGAATAAGTTAATAATCTGCTTTAGTGTGGTAACAGAAAAAAAGATTTAATGTCAAACGCTGACGGAAACCAGAGTTTCCTAGGGGGGAAAAATGTTGTTAATTATCTTTTAATTGATGTTAGCAGCAGTGACTTTTCTCTTCAGAAAAGGGTGAAGCCCTCTGCGCTAATGCAACATTAGTCCAATAAGACATCGCCTCTTCTCATCATAATGAATAGATTAGTAAATTTCAATAAACCTGTTCTGATTTTATTGATTCATACTTATAACAGCCTAGAGACTGCACTGGAGGAAAAGCCAAAGTCACCCTTATAATTTACTGCGCTGAGCATTGTTAAAATGGAGAATCCAACCTTTTATTCTGGCCAGTTATTCCCCCAAAACAACAATTTATTTAATAGTTGCATCAGAATTTGATAAGTCATTGGCTAAATTAATAAATCAATCACTTACTAACGTGTTCTTAAGCTTTTAAGCTGCAGAAAATAAGAATCATTACCAATTTATAACAAAACTGTAAATGATGGATGAATACAGGGCATTATATCTATAGCACAATGTTGTGTTTTTTTTTCATTTTCTAACATTATTTATTAAACTTAGATTCTATAGAAAGATTATGAACTATTAATATTTACCTGATGTAGATAACTTTTTGAACGACATGTGTTTGAAGAAATAGAGTTGATATGACTGGACTGATGATGCAACGTCTGGTTCAAGCAGGGCCAACCCATTTGTGACCTTCAACAAATTTTGTGATTCATGCAAATACTTTTTAGTAAACCTTTTGGTCTTGGTCAGTTTCACATTACACAGCAGTTCCAGCAGAAATATTACAATTTTACAGAAATATCCCGAGTTGCACCTGCACTACATATACTATAGATGCTGCTGCTATTAGCATTTCTCAAATAATTCAATGAAAAGAACCATGTATTTCAAGCAGACAGCAGTGTAAAGGTTTATTAAAAAAAATATGTTGCATGGACTTCTCTGACATTTTTTTTAAATTGGAGTAGTTTTAGGGCAGCAGCAATCTGCTTTGATCTTGGCTGCAGTTGGATTAGTCATTATGTCAGAATTCAACTTAATTTTTCCTAAATAAGGTCGTTCAAGGAGCAATTTACAACAGGTTGGATGTATATTGTTCACGACCTTTCCCCCGAACCACTTTTCAAAAGATCTAAAATATCTACTGAAACAAAACCACAAGTACAACGTGGTACATTTAGCCCTAACGCAGACTACTGAAAGATGAAGTAACCTCTCATTACCAATACAATGCATATAATTTTGCTAAAAACAACACATCAATTCCCCTCCCCCCAAAAAAACATACTATCACACCCACCCAGACAAACAGTGGGAGTGGTGGTGCAGAGGTCAGAGAAGGTTGGCCTGTGATCGGAAGTTTGCCGGTTTGACTCCCCAGACAGACAACATCAAAATGTGGGTGGAAAAAGTGAAACACCCACACCTGCCGCCAATTCAAATCAGTTTATTTATATAGAAGCAAATCACAACAGAAATTCTCTCTGGGCATTGTACAGGAACATTCACATGCATAGAAAAAACAATTAGTAAAGTTCTGTATCTAATGAAGCCTGCAGACTCGTTGAATCTTCATTTGGTCGCAGTCTCCCATCCTGAGCAAGCACAATGGCAACAGTGGAAAGGAAAAACTCCCTTTTAACAGGAATAAACCTCCAGCAGAACCAGGCTCAGGACAAGTGGCCATCTGCTTCGACCAGCTGGGTTTGAGAGGACAGGAAGGTAGAAAAAAACAAACACAGAATGGCAGGTCCAGATGTAGGTGCAGGTGCACCTCCTATTGGATGGAAGACAAAAACACATGTCAAGGATAGGAAAAAAATACAAATACAAAACAGGCCCCACTCTTGGCCCTTGAGTAAGGCCTTTATCCCCCACCATCTGCTTTCAACAGGTCTCTCTTGAAAATGAGTTCTCGGGACTCTATGAGCCTACTTGTATAAATAAAGGGTAAAAAAATTAAAATTAACAGCTTAAGAAGCTAAGAGATAAGCAAAGCTAAGAAAAGTCAAGACAAAAGTCTTGAATTCCACAGACAGAGATCGGAATGAAGGAAACAACAAGACCTCACAACCCACGAGGTGTAACGATACTGGACCATTACCAGGGTTTTTGTCCATGACTTTACTGACCAGAGCTGCTTTAGCAGGAAAACGGAGTCTAGCCATACAATTTTTAGAAAATGGTGATAACCTTGTGTCTGGTCAGTGCATTACCTACTATTTAGGGCAAAGAGACACTGCACACATCACTGAATAAACTATACATGGTACAAATAAAGCCATCTGTTTGTATGCCTAGAATGTATGGAGAGTTTGCAGTCCCATTTGAACATAGATTTGTAGTTTCATTCACATTTTTAACATCTTTCAAAATTAAATTTATCTGGTTGGTCAGTAATGTTATTTGCTGGTGAGTTAAATCTATCATTTTTGTTTCTTTAGCTGGATAAATTTAATATATTGTAAGGTATATATTCAAAAAAAGGATAAAGGAAACTTCTTCATAGCTAAAATACAAAGAAAAAGCCTCAAAATCAAACTTTATGTCAGATTTTCACGGATTAGCTGGGCATTTTATTTGCAACAATCCTCAAGCTCTAAGATTGAATTATTTTTATTCAAGAGTTATTTCTGATTTCTGAAAATGTGAGTGTTGTATGACTCTGCCTCTAATATGATGCAATAACAGATGAGTTTTGTTGAAGTGTATTTCTGGGAGCCATGTTCTTTTTTTCCCAGTTTCTGGATTGTTTACTATAACAGTGATTTATGTTCCTGCCACTGTTAACTGTTCTGTGTAGAAAAATGAAATGTTGCCAGGGAATGTATGTAAATGAACATTGTTTTTATTCACATGTGGTTTTAATTACTGCTCTCATTGAAGTGCCTCTCTGCCCATCTGTTTGTGCCAAGCGTGCTATTTTGAATTCTCTCTGTACGTCTTTATGTCTCTGCCTGCTTCAATAACAGGGGCCCATGCAAAAAAACACGGCGAGGATTTATCGGAGAATGACGGTGATGAAGATGAAGGTATTTTCCATGGTGAACAAAGATGGTGCATGATTGTTTTTTTGGGTTTGTTTGTTTTATAGTTTTTGGTTTTTTTTTTTAGAAAATATGTTACTGTTTTATAATTCTTTATGACTTTTATCTTGTTTTTTAATGAAAATGTAATCATTAGACACCCATGTCTCATCCCAATCTGTAGAACAGCAAGTGTGCATGTGAGCGAATGTGATGGCTCTTGTTCCTGAGGATTTAATTCAGCAGATGAAGAGTTTTTCACTTGAGAGTCAGATAAGATCTGATAGTTATTGAGATACCCAAACCCAATGTTGATTCATGTTAATATCTGCTATAGTGAGTGAAGCAGCTGTCATTAAAAAGGCTGGGACAGTAAAGGCTGGGACAGTGGTTGAAAGTCCCCCTTTTTAAGGTGCGGACAGTGTTGCTGGCAATAACAGCAGAGTAGAAAGGGAGGTAAGCAGTGTAATATCACCAGCTCTGCCTGCACATTCAGATGAGGATCGGCAATTCAGGAGTGATGCTGAAGAGGATTAGGGATGAGAGGTGTTGAAAATGGGAAGTTGCTGCTCAGCAATCGCATTGTTCACTTCCATATTTATCTTGGGATATTCCTGGCTCAGGGTGGATCTCTGCCGAGATTAGAATGAGAGACGGTTCTTGTGCTGCTACAGAAACAGCTTAAGTCTCTGAATCTAAATCAAACCCTTGATGTAGCCCCACCCTTGTCTTCCTCTGCCACTCCAGGGCAGGTAATAGAAGCACCGTGTGAGGCTTCAAGGTAAAGCTCTCAGTTTACGCTCCATTTGTTATCAACAGATTCGATTTAAAAAAAAATCACATTTAGCATTTACCTGTTTGTCTGAGGCAAAGCTGTTTTTAGCACATGTTTGGGGTAGATACACGTTTCACTTGTTAGGCAAACCTTAAGTATACTAGAAATCCAAGTGGTCCTCTTCAGATATTCGAGGGTTTATCAGGAAGCTCTTTCCTTGTTGCCAGTGGGCTCTTCTCTCAAAAAGAAGCCTCACGCTGGTGCTGATCACAGAACAGGAAGCGTTGCCATGGCACCACTTTGACACACAGGTGCTTCTCCATTCATGCTCAGGGCGAGCTGCTGCAACTGAAGCCAATTTTCCTGACCCGACTGCGTGTTTACACGCGTGATCGTGCAGGTTTGTCTTCCTCGCTTCAAGCAAGCTCACGTGTGTCAGGACGTAGCCCCCTAAGACAGTTTAAAATTGCTGACAAGTGCCAATCCCCCTTTTCTCCTGCCAAATCTTTCCATGCATGCACACGCACAGTGGCTCGTTCTCCGAGCTGTTGTGCTTTAGACTTGCCTCGCCGAAATCCTGACAAGTCTATTCTTTACGGAGCGCGACTAATGCTATTTACAGAGCATCACCTAAGACACACAGTACAGTCGCAGCAGCATCCTTGCCACAGCACTGTAACTAATGCGTGTGTGACAGAATTGGCCGTCAATCGTTAAACACGATCCAGAAGATTTTTATTGTTCCAGGGATTGTGTTGAACTATTACAGAGGGTGGTTTGATACCTGTCTCTTACCCCATTATTTCCCCACTAGAGGAGTGTTTTCTCAGTGAACAAAAACACAGCATTTCCTCACCAAGGATGCTATACAATCCATAAGGTCCTTACAGGCTATCTCAGCAACTATTGTTTACTTTTATTGTGGATAATAGCAGTCTCTCGGTCTGTAGTAATTTTACTGCATGCATTACCAGTGAAAAACAATACATTTGTATTCATGTGAAAGGACACGTAGATTCGCAACACAAGCAGAACTACCTCTCCCTCCAGCTGACACACTTCTTATCCACATATTCTCATTTCTGAGAGAGCCACTGTCCTGGCTGCTTTCTGTGAGTGGCCCCTTCGTCTCCCGATCTGTTCAGCTCGCCATGGTGTCTCACTTGGCAGTCTGTCTATCCTGGGCTAACTTACTCCCTTCATGCAGTCTAAAGGAACTGCCATCCTCCTTGTTAAAACCCTCCAAACATGTTCTTCAAATGTGAATCTTAATTAAAAGCGTAAGATTACTTTAAGAAATACATATCGCCCTCCGCCTTTCATGTCAGAGTTTTCAACTAAAATTGCCTTTTGCGGAGAAGGAGTGGAGTTTTAACCATTTGGGTCCAAGTTTGTAAATTATGCTGTGCAAAATTCCATGCGATGTGAGATTTTTCAAGGATTTTTTTAGGCCTCAAACAGTGCCCTGTCAAGGACACGGTGTGAGAGATCTTTTTTTTATACCTCTTTCCTCATGTTTCTTCCCCTTTTCTTATCTAAGAACAGAGGCAGCATATCTTAGAAGCTGCAGCCCCCTGTACACATCTGTCCATCTTTATGATGGCTGTACAGAAGGTAATTTTGTTGTACTTCGCTGTGCTAGCTAGGACAATGAAAGCATTTTGATTCTGAATCTGATGTGTTAGTACACTGGGTAGACTGGGCCGAGATGGGGTAGAGGTAGGGCAGCCGACTCGGGACCAAAAGTACCAGTTTCGATCCCCAGCCATTCCCACATATCTTTGAGCAAGACACCCAATCCCTAATTGCCCCCTGGGCACTTACATAGCTGCCCACTGCTCCACCTGGGTGTATCCCAGATATGATGGGTTAAATGCAGAGAACCAATTTCGCCATTGTATGGGAACATACAATGGTATGGTATGGTATATAGTTTATTCATTTTAAAAAAGTACAAAACAATTCCATAACAATATAAAAAAAGGATACAAAAGATTTAAAATGAAAGGCAGCAGAAAGAAGAAAAAATCTTATTTTATCTGCCCCTTTTTCAAACAATTATTTCAGACATAATAATCTTCAAGTAACAGAACAAAATGAATAACTCTTTCTAATTTTTCTAATTCTAATACAAAACACACACTAAGCTACTTCATATATATATTTTTTTTAACAATTCAGTTTTGATCTTTTTCTTAAATGTACACATTGACTTGGCATTTTTCACATCCCTCTCTAGACCATTCCACAATCCAACTCCTTGAATTGAGGTAGACCTTCCCTTCAGACTAGTTCTGAATTTTGGTTTGACAAATATTTCTATCCCCTTAAGATTGTAACAACTTTGTCTTTTAATAAAATTTATTTGGATATTTAATGGTAATGTGTTATTTTGAGCCCTATACATAACTGATAAAATACTGTAATCTACTAAATCATCGAACTTCAATAACTTCAGTTGATAAAATAATGTGCTTGATGGGTGCCAGTAATGCTTTCTGGTGATAATTCTTACAGCTCTTTTCTGTAAAATAAAAATAGGTTTTGTAAATGTTTTACATGCTTTCCCCCAAACATCAATGCAATAGATTAAATGTGGAACAATGATTGTGTTATACAACATGTACAGAGCTTTATCATTTAATAATTCCCTGGCTTTGTATAGTACTGCAATAGATTTAGATATTTTTGTTCTTATAGAATTTATGTGATTTTTCCATGTTAGCTGTTCATCAATGATTACACCCAAAAATTTCATCTCATTAACTCTACAAATCTCAACACCCTCAATTTTAAATGGATCATCAACAGTTCTCTTTTTGTTACTAAATATCATGTATTTAGTTTTATCTAAATTTAACAATGATGACAACACATAACCCTTTACACACAAAATTTGCTGCGGATGACTCTTAGCTACTACCATAAAGATTTAGCTAAATATCAATTCAATTCAATTCAGTTTATTTATATAGCACCAAGTCACAACAGAAGTCATCACAGGGCACTGAACATGAACATTCATATTTACAAATAATAATTTAACATTTATCTGAGGAGCAGACTGTTTGAATTTAACTCCATCAAAGAACTCTCATCTTAAGCAAACATGAAGGCGACAGTGGAAAGGAAAAACTCCCTCGTGAGGAAGAAACCTTTACCAGGACCAGGCTCAGGACAAGCGGCCATCTGCTTCGACCAGCTGGGTTTGGTAGGAACAGATTGTTGTGGGTTGCAAGATTCAATTAAAGGAAAAATAAAGCAGACATGTGGATCAGCTTCAGTTCTCCATTTACTTTCACTTTCCACTTCCTTCCGTTCCTCTCTGTCCAGCATATTTTAAACATACAGTCTTATATTGAGCAGTCGATTGAGCATGCATCAGGATAGTCTTCTGCCTTCTGGTGCCCTTTCTATGCAAAAACCATTACTTCAGTTTCAACAGCAGAACACAACACAGATACACATTTGCAGGTCAAGAATCACATGTTAAGATAGAAATAGTACCAAAGAAAATCTATTCAATTTTAACAATTAATTTAAGGAAATTAGGTCAATATGTCCTCTAGTAGTTTAAGCTTAAGACAGCATGACAAGCCAACCCTAACTATAGGATTTATCAAAAAGGAAAGTCTTAAGTCCAGTCTTAAAACTGGACAATGCGTCAGCCTCACGGACAGAAACTGGAAGTTGGTTCCACAAGAGAGGAGCCTGATAACTGAAAGATCTTTCTCCCATTCTGCTTTTGGAAACTTTAGGGACCACAAGATAACCTGCAGTCTGACAGTGAAGTGCTCTGTTAGGAAAATATGGAACAACAAGATCTCTAATATAAGATGGAGCTAGGTTGTAGAGAGCTTTGTAGGTTAGAGGTAAGATTTTGAATTCATTTCTGTATTTTACACAGAAGTAGAGTGTAGAGAAGTTAAACTGGAGAGATATGATCTCTCCCACTATCTCCAGTTAAGACTCTGGCAGCATTTTGGATCAACTGAGGACGTTTTAAATAAGTATTTGGACACCCAGATAACAAACCATTGCAATAGTCCAGTCTAGATGTGACAAATGCATGAACAAGTTTTTCTGCATCATTTTTAAATGTTTCTAATTTTGGTAATATTGTGCAGGTGGAAGGCAGTTATAGTAATGTTTTTAATGTGGGGGATAAAAGACATGCCCTGATCAAAAATAACACCAAGATTTTTAACATTAGAGCTGGAGGACAGATTAA